CCCCGCTCCGGTCCTGACGTGGCCCCGCCACAGCCCCGCTCCGGTCATGCCACGGCCCCGCTCCGGTCATGCCACGGCCCCGCTCCGGTCATGCCACGGCCCCGCTCCTGCCCCGCCGGAGGGTCCCGACCGAGGGTCCCGGGGTGAACACCCCAGTTCACTCATTAATCCGCTAATTAATGTACACATTTGTTCTTTGGCTCCATACAGGCGAGTGCTTTGCCGCACAGTCTTATTTTTTGCACTATGAGTGCAGAAGTCCTCGCGGGTGTGACAGAGTAGTCGCCTCAATGGTCGTTTTGTCCGTATGTTCAGATTTGGCAAATTAACAGTTCTCTGAAACTCAGAATTGGAACTGCCAAATATTGACTTCAGGCTGCTCAGGAAATTCCTTCTGCTGGGAGCAGAAGCTAAAACCAGCTATACATATACATATATATGAAGTTTTATATACATAAATATGAAGTATATACATGAAGTTAAATAGACATAGGTTTAATTCTAGCATGTTTCCATCCAAGTTATATCATATGCTGTGATATTGGATGGCATTATTCTTTCAATACATAATTTTCTTGGTTTATTGCATTACCCTAATGTAGACAACATTTTATCCAAGCCAGTTCCTGATGTCCTTAGACTACCACACTTAGTTAATAACAGTTCATTACATCATCAGAAGGGAGCAGATCTAATTTATTTGGAAACATTATTGTTAAATAAGATTTCCAGATGCAGAAAAGTTCAAAAATCTTCCAAAACAGGAATCACTGATTCATGATGAGGCAGGAGGCAATGTTGGATGTCATTTGTTCTCTAGAATGTTAACAGAATTAATAAAGATACTCAATATTGTCGTTTCTCTTATGTTGAATCATCCATTATTTAATCCAAGCACTGTGACTGAGATGCCTGAATGAGGAACCTAGAACATGTCTGATGTTTAGCATCAATTTAATTATTAATTATAAAATTAACCAGGACAGAACTTTGAAATTAGCAAATACCATATTTTTCCTTACAGTATTTGCATACTAAAGATGTCCCACACTGTATTTCTTATAGTGGTTCATCTTTGTGACATTTCTTACAGTCTTAGGAAGGTGGCGTTATCTTATTTTTACCCTCAGTTGCACATTAACTACCAACACAGTGATATTTTTTGCTGTCTCTGTAGAACAAGGTGCTGCATTGTGCAGTCGTCAGGAGAACATCATGAAGCAATGCTCACCCTTCAAAAGCCAAGAGTATTTTGGTTCTAAGAGGCCCAAACTGCGTTCTGCAGGGTGCAAAGTCACTCTGAAGTTCAGTGGGCTTTGAGGGAAAGGCAGTTTCCACAGGAGCTGCCTGGGTTGGGATGTTGGGCTCTGATATGCAGTGGCACTCGGGTACCTGACCCACATGGACACCACTGGCAGTTAAGTACACAAGAATTTTTGAGGTCCTGTCTCAACAGGTGTGGGAAAAATGCAGTTTATTCTTATTTCTTACATGGATTCCCTTTTTGTGCTGTTTTTCTTATATAGACTTAATAAACTGTTTTTTCTGTTGTTTGGATGTTCTGCCTTTCAGTCTGTGCACTTTACATGTACATCCAAAAGCACTTCTTTGAGCAGCTTTCTGTTTTTAGCACTGCCTTGCCAGTTATCCATCCATAGAAGTCTCACAACATGAATGAGAAAGAACTGCGTCCTTAATTTGTGGTGTTCTTACCAACACCAGAGTGGTTTTCATATCATTCCTGTGAAAATAATCTGTCACAGGCAACAAGATGAAGTGTTAGCCCTGTCAGCCAAGTACCTGTATCCAATCTTCTGTAGTCAGATTTTGTGTGTAATGTGAAAAAATGTGCAGTAAATTGTTGTGTCATGTCCAGCAAGTAACTGGAAGTCGTGCCCTCACATGTAAATATCTGTGCATGCAGCAGTGTAGGAGTTCATGCTGCTCTGGCTATTATGGCCTAAATTTATCTCTAGAGAAGAGTGAAAAACTGATAGGTGTCAGTGTAATAACAGCACTGTCTCCAGGTTTGAAGAGTTCCTGGCACTGTTTTGGATAGGAAATTCCTTCATTAGCTACTGCAGATCCTGTTCCTGAGGCGTTCTTTCCTTGATGCCCTTATTAGATAAGATACCAAAATATTTATAGGACATTTGTTTATCTACCTGTCTGCTTGGGGGCCAAATGCTTTCTTGCAAAGAAAACAACTCCTAAGAAATGCTGTTTGCTACAGACTGAACTGTTGTGGTGTATTTTGAGCCAGGATACAGGAGTTGGAGATTCATATTTGTTCCTTGTCCATAAGCACTGGAAAAGATGGGTTGTTCCAAGAGTTCTTTCTGAGGTGCAGTGGCACTACACTACAGTTCCTATTCAAGGCTGAGACTTTCTCAGTAAAATGAATTTTTGACAGCTGTTTAGGTCTGTTGTGTGTGCATAGTCACAAGCTGCCTGATCAGCTTTAAAATAATTTGATAAAGGAAGCACCATGTTACCTTCTAAGCAAAATAACAACATCTGCTGTAAGAACTTTGCAAATAAGGTCAGGATGGAACCGTTGGTTGACAAAACCAACATGATTGCCAATGAGAAGTAATTCTTTACCTCATTTGTGGTACTTTTGGCAAATTCAATCAGTTTGTTAATACTGAGACCTTGTAAATTGGAAAAAGCCATTTCTTTACATTAGTATGTAAAGCAAGTATAACCTGTTCCAGTAATTCCATGGGATGTTACCAGCCTTCATTCCAGCTGCAGTTAATAAATGAGCCTGCTGCTTGATTATTTTTGCCCTTGCATTTTCATGTGTTAGTTCATTCTTACAAATAGCTTGTTACATCATATGAGAGAATATTATAATAGGCTGCATTGTGAGTTTTAAATATCATCAGTTAAAAAAACACATTCCTAAGCAATTGAAAAGAGCACCAAGCAATTGAAAAGAGTGGAGATGCTAAAAAGTTCTCAGGCTTGGAGCTCATTTCAATTAGAATTCCACAGTTTTTCACATGAAGAATTACATGGGTTTGTGCTTTAGATAAGCCTTTATCTGAAATGTAAACCAAATGTGATAGGTTAGTGTGGTAATGAACACTTCTGGGAAGAGGCAAAGTATAGTGAAATTCTTGATTTGTGAAGAAAGTGATTATTCTTTAGGGAAATAAATGGAAAGACATTTTTGCTGGATCCTGTTGAAAATTGAGTTGTTAGTCCTGTAAAATGCTATGGGTGATGTGAAGCTGGGTTGTGTAAATTTGAAAGCTGAACATCAAATAAACTACAGGAGTCATAGGGTTTTTTCCTTGGAAGCAGGAATGACCATTAAGGTTTCTGTTAGTTTTGAACTGTACGTGCATGGCCAGTACCTAAAGTCCTGACAGGTTTTTCTTTCCTTTGTTCTTTATTTCAACCAAGGTTATCTCTGCTGAGGCTGGTGGAATCACTCCCACTCTGTGTTTTAAATAAAAGCTAAGTTGGATCTGTGGGGATCACTGCTTGCATGAGGTGTGGAGGAACAGCTGTATTGTCATGAATACAAACAAGCAGAGACCTGCAAAATGTCTGTAAATGCAGATCATGTTTTTCAACAAAAAGTCTCTTCAGCATTAACAAAATCTGGTTTTAGAGGTGTTATCCTTGCTGCTTTATAAAAATATCCATTGTTTAGTTCTTGTTTCAAACATTATGACTTCTCCCAGTGTGGATTATTTATGTAAAATTATTTCAACAACATCTGTGTAAACAGTATTTGTATCCTCTGAATCTTGTGTATGCTTCTTCTTTAAAAGATTTCATGGTCTCCCATTTTGTGTACAAAGGGTACATGTTATAACGTGTTTTATTCAGACAGATTAAAGCTCATTGAAAGCATTTGAGAAAGGGTTGTTATGCCCTGAGAGTCAGCAGGTGTTACAATATTTGGACATGACTATATGTATGTAGTACAGCAAAGCCTTTGGTAGGGTATAAAGTGTAAAATCATTTTTTTCTCATGTACAGTGATCTG